AGCGAGGTCTTGTTGCCAGGACTTCAGTCGCGGGACCTGCCGTGCGACCCGCCGAGCGGCCCGTAGCCCTATGGCTGAACTGAATAAACGTAAGTTGGCGAACACAACTGGATGGGGCTCGATGACGTTCGACACAGTGCGCAATGAAACACAAACTATTGCCTTAGGGTAAAGCCATGCTTCCTACAAGGAGGCGGGTGTGACCATCATCTCAGTAGGAGCACGGTAAGCAATACCATTCGGCGAAGAGAGAATTGCGTTCTGCCTCGCAAGCCTGCCTATTTAATAAGAGAGGCCAGCGCAAAGCTCTGCGTTAGCGTTGCGCATGCATCGTATGCTCGCCCATTGCAAGCTTCAACTGAGTGCCGAACGTTACGGCAACTTTCTTTAAACAGGCACTGCTCAACGTGAGTCAGGGTGTAAACCGTTTCCTTAGAAAGCGTCAAAGTCTCCTGAAATCCTATTGAAGATCAAATCACTAGTACTAATCTCATTTTGTTACTTCCACCGAGGTTTTTGGTTTACAACTAACCTACCAAATATAACAACATATCAACGTCACTTATTCTCGAAGGAATCACCAGAACAGGCCATTTTTTATTTGGAAGGGGGGGGGGGGGGCAAGCACTAGCTCTTCAACTTTGTCGGTAGGGCGTTGTGACAGCTTCCTTTCTAAATTTTTGATGTCATAGTCTTTGATGTGTCGTGCTCACGTCCGTGCGTCCATACATCCCTCCATACGTTCCCTGGCACGGTTCCAGCTGTGGTCTCTTCCCCCCTCATACTCTCAGCCTTCACGTTGTGACACAGCGTCTCGTTGGAGCGTTCGAGTGAGTCGAATCAACGATAGAATGGGGCCAAATGGCTCCCATGCACACGCGTCTCTCTCATTCACTCTTTCTCAGCCACCCCGTGGCTGCCGGGGAGCGCTAGAAAATGCCTGCTGCATCGACGGCTCATGTTTTGCTATTGAAAGGGCCTTTTAACGCTCGAAAACATAGGTGCTGACTGTATAACTCGTAGTGGCGCTTGCCAGAACTATTGCGAGTGGAAATGACGCCAGAAGGCTGCCGCCACATCATTGGATGAATGTAATGTTAAATGTAATCAAGTCATTGTATCAAAATAGGGATCACTATTGGATTTCTTTTCAGGGGCGAAGCTCCTTTTAGCGGCACCCGTTCGTCCCTCGTAGTCGTAGACGTAGTGTGTAACCAGTCTTACGCTTTGACCTCCGAGGTGGTGCCGGTGGTAGATTTTTTCTGTGCGTTGTTGAACAATAAAAAAAATTCGCAGCGTGCGCGTTAACTAATAGCCGAATTTTTCTGTCTCTCATTCCGCATTAGCAGCCAATGGCATGTTCCAGTAGGAAAAGTTAGTAGAAGTAGAAGTGTTAAAAGCCGACTTAGGCTGTTTCTTATTACCAGTAGCAGCCATTGTTTACCTGGTAGTGCCTGGTGAGAGTTCTCCTGTGCGTGATTAAACAATAAAATTTTGTTGTTCAAAACGCCGTTGATTGATGAAATAAACCAACGAAAGACGCCAGATGTTTTCTAAAAGCAAAACGAAAAGACGCCAGATGTTTCTAAAGCAAACCAAAAAGAAGACGCGAGCTGCTTAATGAAAGACGCCAGGTGTTCTCTAAAGCAATGGTTTTATAATCAAAATCTCAACGATGCATGTTTGTAGTTGCCGATGCTCATTGCCGTCGGTGTGTGCTCGTGTGGATAAAGATGCCGAAAGGCGGGTGTGCAGGGTAGCGGTGGCGCGCGCTCGCAGATAGGATTCTGAAGAGAGAGCACGTGAGGCAGAAGCGCGCCGGGAAGCTGCGCGACGTCGCTGCCATGATCCTGCTGTACGGGAACAAGAAGCCACATAAACAAGGCAGCGTCGGCAAGATCCCGCCATACGTGAACAAGAAGCTGCAGCGGCACGTCAGCGTCGGCAAGATCCTTCCGTACGAGAACGAGAGGTCACATCAGCAAGGCAGCGTCGGCAAGATCCTGCAGTATGAGAACAAGAAGGTGCAGCGGCACGTCAGCGTCGGCAAGATCCTTCCGTACGGGAGCAAGAAGCCGAGGCAGCACGTCAACGTGGCGAAGCTTGAAAACGTTCGACAAAGGGTAGCGGCGAGGAAGCGCGCCTATCGCCAGGCGAATTAACGAAAAAAAATTTCACGGTATAAAAGTTGTTTCTCTCTCACGGTATCACTTCCAGGAGCTTCACCCAATCTCATCATCATTCACCTCGTGGATCTGCCGCTAATTTTTTTAAAGACGATAGTCTTTCTTGGGGACCTTCGACGCAAAAAATTTTGGTCCGTCTGCACATTTGTCTGTCTACTTTTTTTAGCATCAGATACTTGAAACGGCCGACCCCATCCGAAGCGCCCACCATTGTTGCTAGAGATTGAGAGTTCATGCTTGTGCAATTGTCAATTCAAAAGCAATTATAATGCATGTCTGGGGCATCATAACAACACGTATATATTCTGCATGTGCATCTTTTACTAGAAAAAGCATACATAAGTAGTTTTAGGGACCGTAGCACTTATCACGCTGCGCTGACCATGCAACGCTTGCACGGAAAAGGGAAGTGTTTCCAACGCTTTGCTAAGACGAGATGATAGTGGAACCTACTCGTCACCTTGCGTTCTACACCTTATCACCTCTGAGATGGGCGCGCACAACCGTCTCAGAGCCACGCGCTTTGTTTTGTAAGAAAACTACCAGATGGCGCTCATGTCTCACGTGTGACGTGACTTGATGCGCTCGTTCCCTTTCGCAGCACTCTCGACGCACTCTAACGCAGCGCCTCCAGAATGCCACTCACTGATTTTCTGGCGCTGAACATCAAATAAATGTGTTGTTCACTCTCTCCACACGCAAGACTATCGCCTTTTGACGAGATTTGCAAAAAACATGCAGATATGGGGCCAACTGTTTGTTTAGCATGATTTTCCCTCAAAGCGGAAAAGAATGAAGCTCTTCGAATTTCCAGCTTTAAAAATGCAAAGATTGTTCAAGAATGCGCCTAACGCCGCGGTTCTGAATCAAACGCATCGGGGACGCTCCAGGCGCCGTTGTTTGCACAAAATAAAAAAGTAAAAGCGTGCTCCTATCGCTGCTGTTCTTGTGGCACTTATATCTCTTAAGCCTTCAGTGTACGCAACCACCTTTAAAAACATGTCAAACTATGAGGTCGCGAAAAGTGTTAGAGGACCCAATTAAAGACGATAGACGATTGTCGATAGACGAAATTAGACGATTGGGTACTTCGACGCAAATATTCTGATTGGTCTGTCTGTCACCAGAAACAGGTAGTCGTTTTTACTTCTATTGTTAGCCTTTTATTCCAAAATTCAACCACATCTGCAGCCCCCACCAATAATGCAATGGTTTCCGAGTTTCTACTTCCGCGTATTATCGATTATAAATCAAGTTTTGCGCATATTTGAGGCAAAACATCAAGACGTCAGTTTACTGTGACGTGTTTCTTTATAGCATAAAAGACGTAAATCAGTAATTCTAAGGATCCTTGCGTTTATTACAATAAGCTGACAATGCAACGCTTAGCACGAAAAGGGAGGTGTTTCCTGCGCCTCGCTAGAATGTGCTAACATTTTAGTACACTCTAGTTTTGCTAATACGATACGATAGTTGCACTGGCTCACGGTTCGCATCGAGTCACTTTGACGTAGCGCCTCCGGAATCCGATTAACCGATTTTCTCACACAGAACATCAAAGAAATGTTTTATTCGCCCTCTCCAGATGCAAAGGCTATTGGTCTTTGATGAAATGTGCAGTGAAACATGTGGAAATGAAGCCAATAATCATAAATGTGTTCCGATTCTACACAGCATAAAATATACAGTCTACGCTGACACCATAGAAGAGCTCAAGTTTTTCGAAAAATTGAGCACTTTCTTGTGCCGTGTACGTGACGCTACGCTACTTAACGTTAAAGAGAGAAAGCTAGGATAAACAAATGTAACTGTTATTTATTTTGCCTTGCTTTGTTTTTATATCTACGAAAAATTGAATTCTACTCCCATCGAACATCTTGAAACGCGTCTGCTTGTGTTCAAACGACCGTACCAACGAGATCCGAGCTGTCTGAGCACTTCGCTCAGCCTCCATCTTGTTTGGACAGCAAAGCACCCTGCATCGTTTTTGTCACCGATGCCTTTTTATTGCCCGCTACTTTACAATTGGAATGAAACATAAGATGGCCCCTGACAAGTTAGCTGTCTATTGAGGCGTCTACGGTGAACATTGGAACACATCCTATAACGTAGCGTCGCGCCCTGTGTGCCCACTCGTTGAAGAAGACGCGCGCATCACGTCCCATTCTGACCAACCCCGTCTGAACAGGCGCAGGCTTTCCCTGAACACACTTTGGAATTCACAAAGCTGCTTCGATTTTTTCTTCAAAGTTCTTGTGATAAAGGTTCTATCCTAACTACCACTTGATTACGCCATATTGTCAAATTCACTATCTTGTCAACTATGATTGGTCGAGAGCACTGCGGAGGCCTCTGTGGGGGCTTAAAGTTCTGCCATTACGACATGGGATTATTTGGAGCAGGGGCGCAGCCAGCGGAGCTATCCTAACAGCTTGAGGTTTCTTCGCGTAGCGTAAACTGAAAACTCGGTAGGTGTGAGCCAAGCAGCTCTTAGTACAGCATGGCAATGCATGGTATAGAAATGTATACCATAGCAAAAATGTAGGAGAGATATAGAGGGTGAGAAGGAAAGAAAGAGAGAATGAATGCGTGGTTTTTGAAGAAGAGAAAAGGGCACCTGATTTCTGTTATCCTCGTGTGCGCTAAGCTCTCCTTCGAACCAGTTCAAAATAGACTTGTAATTCCTACCTTTAATCATTATTTAAATTCATCCACACACACTTCAACCGTAAAATTATGCCAGCTGAAAGGAAAGTTATCCGTTAGAAGTTCATGGAACGGCGGGTGTGCGAAGCTCTGACCATGTCTCTGCAGCCACGTTGGTGGAAGAAGAGGACGACGACTCGTCGGTGGCCAGCTCGCCATTCGATGACGGAGGCTTTTTGGACAGTTTAGACTCCGTGGGCGGTGCTGCCGGCGATAGTCAGGAATCATCGTCAGCCGCTGTCTCAGCTGTTGTGGAGGGTCACCCGTTTTCCCCAGGAGCAGCCACGGCAGCAACTGCAACAACGGAAGCGACAACTGCACCGGATGAGGTACAGAAATGTTTGAAGGAACCTCGTGGAAATTTCGTTACGCCACGAAGGTTGTGATTGGACGCGCGTGCGGCCGTAATGGTCTTTGTAGCCAGCCACGTCTTGTTTCGCTTAGATTGAGCACTCGCAAAGCGTCCGATTTCGGCTTTAGGTGATGTACGCCTGAGAAGAGTAGACCTGCATGGGCGCTTAGCGAGACAAAGCCTCGATAAGCCTATCGAGCATGGACGCTTTGCCACGAAAATCATTCATGTCTAATCTTCTTACGTTGACGTCACCCAAAACGTCACCTACCTAATATGTGTGGTTGCGGCGGTTTTCGCTTTGTAATTTTAGGATCGACTTTTCTAAGACCACTTTGATTCATTAACAGGTGATATTGAGCAGAACACAGAACCAGAAGAGAAACTTGATAAACATTTAGATCGGGCTAGTTGGTATGAATCCATGTTCGCTTGTCTTGTACCTTCTTCATTCCTGTCCCTGTGTAGCTTAAGTTTGTGGATGAACTTGCGTACTTTTCTTACGTACACCCTTTACGCAGCCGCCCGACCTCAGCGTGGCAGGTCCGTCAATGAGCAGCGGAGAGCAGCATGGCTATCAGCTGCGAAGACGCATCCCGCAGCCTCCAAACGCGTTCATGCTGTTCGCAATGGAGAACAGGCGATCAGTGGCTGCTGAGAACCCTAACGTACGCGCAGTTTCCTCTCTACTTGTCAAAGCGTTTTCTTTCTGCATCGAAAGGTTTCCACAAAAAGTTTTCTTTACATAACAAAAAACAACAAAAAACACCCACATAGTGTGAGCGTTTAGTTTAGAGCACTTATGTGGTCCATTTGAGAGTTAAAATTATTTCTACAGCAATCGAGCCATTCCTCGTAAACTTTGAGTTTCTCCAACTGTTCGCTTAATTTTTATTGCTGTTGTACTTCACTTCTTAGCAACGCTGATTGGTCTAGTTGCCGACTACGAGGGTAGTAGCTGTACAGAGCTCCAACGTGCGCGGCTCTTACGTCCAAAGCCCGGAGATGAAGGTAAAACAGTAAAAAACACCTTGCTGATATCTCGTTCTATAAGTACGACGGTAGAAAAGAAGTGAAAAGGGTGAATGGGGAGGTAGCCTAGACATGCCAGCTTTATACTGATTGCAGTCAGGTCACATCATTACAGGGCAGCTTAGCAGGCCGCTCTTATCAACAACACGTGGCGCTATCACATACATGACAGCGGCAACTTTTTTATTCATTTAGCACTTGCTTTGTGGCGTAACGCTTCGTATATACTTTAATGCAGTACTCGTGGATCGGAACACCATATTCAGCACCAAGCAATGCACTTACTTTCCGTTCCCACCATATTCGATTCGCGTCATGTCGCCGTAATTTCGCCGCAAACGCTTAAATCACAGAAATGTTACCTTTGGAAGCCACGTTTGTAGTCCTGCAACGGGTTGTGGAAACGCATGCCGCGTTTTTAGCGAGGCAGAAATATGACAGGCAGTGGGTGCCATCGTTGCTGTAGAATGGAGACGCTATGCTAAAACCATTAGTATCACGTTTCAGGGCTTGGGCACTGTACTCACTTTCATAATTTTTTGCGGTTTTAGATGCGGAGCATCTTATACTCGCGCCTTGTAGTGCGCCGTCCGCGCCGTCCGCACCGCTTCTCGAACATTCGACAGCTGACGCGCGCGCATGCGCCGTCGCGCCGTCGCCCACTCTTCCACCATCTGTGCATCCCTTCCTCCTCTACACACCGCGCGCGCTTCACTCCTCCACCATCTGTGCACCCTTCCTCCTCTACACACCGCGTTCGACATCTACAATTCTCCTGATTCTCCAGTGGACGCGCATGTGGCGTCGCGCTTCGAGAACATTCAACAGCTGACAGTGCATGCGCCGTCGTGCTGTATATATACTCAAGGTTGGCGCTCGCTCGCTCAGTTGCCGCTCGTCGGTTGGTTTGTACGGCGCGTCGACGTCCAAGGTCGCGGTGAAATGAATTCCAACGAATCCACAAACACAATGATCGACGTCCCTTCGACCAGCGCCGCCCTTTCGCATACGTGTGTACGTGTTCACTCATTTAACACCCCCTCCTACAACCACGTTAACCAATTTAGCCATCGACCCAAGTAAGTCGCAATTTAACACCCCATTTCACAACCACGTTAACAAATTTAGCCATCGACCCAAGTAGGTCGCACTTTAACACCCCGTTAACCAATTATATGGTCCGCATCCTCCTCAGTGTTCCCCCGAGGGAAGCTGCGGGCAATTTTTTTTTTGTAGGACAATGATAGAGCTTAAAGGTACACTAAAGAGAAACACTGAATTGATTGAAATTGCTAAATTGTACTGTGAGAACGGTAACATCATTAATTTGATCATCATAATTTCACTAATAGTATAGAAAATCAAGGTCAACGTTTCGTTTTCACATTTAGCCCAAAACTTCCACGCATGACGTCACGAATTCGAAAGTACTATTTTGGCACCATTGGTTCCACAAAATTTTCTCAAACTTGGGGTGTTAAACCCTAAGAGGACAAACTACTTCATTTTCACTGAAGTGGATTCGGGTAGGCTCTTGTAAGCGTCGTCATTATATGTGACCTCACGGAGAATTGTGAGGAAACTTCGTATATTAGACGTGTAAGTATAGAGGAAAAGTGAAATACTCGAATATTAAGTTGAACTTTATTAAAGAAACTCTCGGCAATTCTTGAGCTCGTATGAAGCTCCCGTACATACACTGGCTCACCATATCTTTACAACCTGATGGCTTCTTTAGGTGTGTTTTCATGTTTTTTTGTCTCATTATCATGTCCGTTTGTCACGTGAAACCCGATAAAAATATTGTGCTTGTTTTCGACGCAGGAGGACAACCAGCGTGTGAGCACCCGACTGGGTAAATTGTGGCGTTCTCTCAGCGCGGCCGCTAAAGAATCTTATCAGCGCAAGGCGGCCGTAGCAGCAGCAATCCACCGAATCAAATATCCTGGTATAATTCAAATGCAAATGATTTGTTTCCGTACTGCGGGCACTTTTGGCGTCTATCTATGCATGTATCTATCAGCCACCTACGTATGGGTGCTCAACATACGGTGGCCCAGGATTGGTATGAAAAAGTAAGGTGGTTTGACGAATATAGCCCGCTAGTCGTAGCATGAATAGTAAGTAAACAGTTATTCTATACCAAGCTTAGCGGATAGCGGGCTTACCCCAATAGCGGGATGCGTACGTTGCTCGTACCGCATACCGTACGCGCGTTATTTTTCATATTTAACGTAACCATGTTAGCGTGCTGTACGTATTGTACGTAAACATGGCGGCGCTTACGGGCGCCCACTTCGAAGTGATTATACGTAGTTGTTGAAAGGTAGACTTCGTTCACTGCAAACTACTGCTTAAAATGACTCCACTTGCCTTCAGTTGGCTTCGATGACCGAGTATTGCGGATATGCTAGTGTAATTTTTGAGATATCTTCTCAATGTGAACTTCCCTAGGCCTAAAGAGAAAACTGATGTAAACAAATGGGCAACCTAATTGTTTTAGCGTTCGGTTCAAAGCTTTTATTTATTTAATTTTTAATATTCCTAAAATTTTCTTGTAACAATACTTCGCACGGGGACACAGGTGAACATACTCGATTTCTACTCCTTTTCATGTTTTTTAACTTATCCACTGTTCGATAGATGGCGCCACTATCCTAGATAGAGCACGTAAACCATCTAAACGCTATCCCACTAAACCATAAAACGCTGTCCGTAACGTACGTTTTCTGCACGGTAACGCTATTTCTTTAACACCGCTATCACCCTAAAGGTAAGCTAAATATTTCTAATGTCACAATTCCAACGCGTACCTCTTCAAACACCTTCTGACACGGTGGCCATACTCGTGGGCGGGTATATGCCACGTGAGGCGGTTATGCACCCCAGGTGATTGACACTTTCTATCTACCCAGGAACAGTGACAACAGGCATTGGTGATTCAAATGCGAGAGTGTTTAGAAAAAGTGACATCGGCAGCGTTGGCTGGATGAAAGCAAAGAATAAATACCGTTGTCCCAGCACGAATCAAGTCCTACTATTTTGCGTGGCAATCAAGGTTTCTACCACAGAGCAACGCAAGGTCTCCATAATGATCTGTAAAAATGCGCTACTCGGACGTAATCTGGAAGAAATGTCAGTTGTGCTTGCGAATCTGCAGTTGTATAAAGATATATGTACTGCTACGATAGAGCCATCTCGTAGCTTTAGTGACAGCTGTGTTATGCACCATGTACTGTCGTTTTTAAGGGCGAAGCTCCTTAAGGAGTGGTCTGTCCATCCTCCGTGGTTGTCGTACGTAGCCACCAGGATGTGAGATGGGAGATGGTGGTACTTGGAGTGTTCACTAGATGGATGCACGTACGGACACATGGACGGACGGACAGACAGACTAGCAGACGAGCGGACGGATGGACAGACACGAGGAGTATGTGCCACAGGAGATGCGAGATGTGAGATGGGCGTACTTGGAGTATTGACTAGATGGACGTACAGATGGACCGACAGGCAGACAAAAAGAGGGATGGACAGATAGACGGACGCGTGGACGTACGGACAGGTGGACGCATGTACAGACGGACGGACGCGTGGAGGGACGCACGGATGGTCGCGTGGATGGACGGAAGTACGGAAGGGCTCACGTACGCTTCGCCCCACTCATTAGGACTCACTCTGTGAATATGCTGTGTTTGTTTTTCGTAGCAGTGTCCAGGGCTACCATCCTCATGTATAAGTCTTACATATCAGCTTACCGCTTCTTGTGTTGCTAATACTCGTGTTGCTGTTGGCATCGTGTTGCAAGTGCAAACAACTGGTTATATGAAACATGTGCGACTTTTCAACTTATGTCTGTGTGTACAAGACTTCGCGTATACTTAGCGTCATATCGTAACGTGTCACTCAATAACAAATATTACAAAACGGCCACCTTCACTTCGCATGCTTCGCTTAACGTCGATTTCCAAGTTGCATGGGATCTGCTAAATTTAACGCAAAATCCTTTAAGCAATGCAAGATCAATCAATGATATTCCAGTACGGGGGTCACAATTCTATCTATCTATCTATCTATCTATCTATCTATCTATCTATCTATCTATCTATCTATCTATCTATCTATCTATCTGTCTATCTATCTATCTATCTATCAACTAAACACAAAAGTGAAAGCGATCACAAGTAGTAGAACCAAAATCGTGACGCCTTGTCAAAGGCGTCTTTTGAAATCCCCACTTTGTACTTCTCGTCGGTAGAATCCTCCCCACAGTCATCTGGAACTTTCAGCAATGCTGGTACTACTGTACCATTCACGCTGTAGGATATTACCGTTGCGTTTCAAAACATACCACTATCCGAGAAGTTAATACAATTTTGTCCGAGTTGCTCGGTGCACGTACGGTAACGTGATCGAATGGTTATAGTGAAAAATATGTGTATGGCAGATTGCAATAGTGACATGCCGACCACGACCTTATGGTGCATTTGTACGGTAAACTGACCCTAGTAAATGACTCCACCTAAAGGATTTGACTGGGACAGTTGGTGAAAATGATAGCTCTCGTTATACATCAAAGGTATCCCCCTCGCAAAGTGAGCGTTGTTGTATAGAATGCCAGCCAAATGCCGTTTCCATTGGAGAGAAGCAATTGCGTCAAGCGTTAAAGCTCGTTCACACCTAGGTCTAGCACCGGTCGTGCGATAAAGTTAGTAGAAAAGCGACTGGTTGCAAATGGTCGCCAACGACCACTTCGGCCACAAGGTGACTGCTTTGGCTCATCCGCTCGCTCCTTGATTTTTCAGTCGGACGGCATCAGTTGCAAAGCTCTGAGCCAGTCACATGAGCAGGAACGTTACGTGAGCTTACTTTGTGGGACATTAGCAGAGTGAGCTACATGAAGGTAGGAAAGCTATATGCGAGAAGTCATGAACTCTGTGTGACGATGACGCGTACACGTCGCACTCGGGCGTGAACAATGATGGCCTTGAACCGCTTTTTGTTGCCGCTCGCAAATGGTAGCAGGTGTGAACGAGCCTTTAAGGCCGTGTCGCATCACTGACCGTTACGAGCGTTTCGTAACGCTGATCTGAAGAGCTTCGGTGCTATGCTAATCCTTAGGCACTCTTTCAAGGCTTGCGCATGCAGTCTCGTTTCAAAATAATACCACTTAAGTGACGTGAATCGCTCGAACGGCGTATACCACGCTACAGTGAGTTCGTCAATGCGTAGGCTACGTCTACAACCCACGCGAGGCACACCGACGCAAGGAGCAGGCGCGCATAGCCAAGGCGATTGCCAGCAAAGTGAAGCAGGAGCCTTCGGACGACCAGGAGCTGGAAGCACAGAGCACCTCTGCATCCCTAGGTCCAAGTACTCCTGCATTGCAGAACCCACCGCGGCTTCCGCAGTCACCTCCCCCGCTGCCACTCCAGCTCAGGCGGTGGGCAACCACTGCTACCCTGGCCAGCACTCAGGCCGACGCTCGGACAACGCCAACTGGCAGGTCGACGGCTGCCGCACCATCCACCACGTCGGCTGGACCAGTTGCACGGCCATACTGCGTAAGTGCGTGTATTAAGGCATTAGACAAATACAGACGTGTGAACACCACTAAAATTTTATGCTGCCGCATTAACCTCGAATTGAAAGGCGGTGTTTTAAAAGCAAAGGAAGAAGCAAGAGGACAGTCGGAACAGCGCGGCCTTCGCGCGATGTATGATCGCTAATGATAACACCATTGACCGGAACGAGATCCATACCGTAAAATCAACATTGCTGTCGCAGCAGCGGATAACTACTGTAAATCTACCCTAGCTAACAGTAAGCAACATTGGTTTATGGCAGTAATACGAGTTGAAACACGGTAGCCTAATTAGGTCAAAATCGTCACATTTTTTAGAAACAGTGGGGGTAAATGTTGTTGTTTTTGTTGTTGTTGTTGTTGTTGTTGTTGTTGTTGTTGTTGTTGTTGTTGTTGTTGTTGTTGTTGTTGTTGTTGTTGTTGTTGTTGTTGTTGCAGAAGCAGGAGCAGTAGAGGAAGAATGAGACAGGTCAATCAGCATGCCACTCAGCATAGGCCTTGCAGCGCGTCACTAGAGTGAATAATTAAAGTTGCACCTTCGGTTCCAAGATGCGAGAAATCTACCTAACCAGAAAAAACTGAATGAACCGTTTTCAATCATTTCTCTTGCATTCGGGTGAGGTAACACAGCGTGTAAATCCGAAAGTGTTTAGTCAAATCAGCAAAGTTTTCCGTTCCTAAATGTTCTCCGCAATTTGTGAAACAGTTTTGATGGTGATATGCCCAGCGTCCAGATTGGCTGGAAACTAGTATTGCGAACAATTTTAGCGTTGAGACGACTGAAGACAGCACGTCAAGATGGATTCTCCTTAGTAAACTTCACATTTCGGAGACGTCAGATTGCTGCATTGCTAAGCAGCGCTTGCACAGGCCTCCGCTTTCGTGCACACTTCGTATCTATGTGAACTTCAATACACCGAGAACACGTATGTGGTGCATGCGTCAACAGCCAGCATCTATTGTTTTCGTTTCTCTATCAGCTTGTTCCTGACCACAAGCTTGCGTATAAAACAGCTGACGAAAATGGTTTGGGAGAGAGGGGAGGAGCTTACCACAGAAGAGAGCGCCAAATCGGTCCCTTATCTTTACTCTATCGTCCCTGTCGCCGCTCTTGTGCAAGGTATGAAAATGCAGGTTTAAACAATGAAGATTATTTTTATGTTATAAATGGTCGGGAACCACTGACGTTGCTTACTCAGAGCTGTTCCAATTTTCATCCTCCGGGAACCGGTGATCGAAAACAGGCCATTGCGGGAATCATGTCTCCCTTTCATTGAAATAACGTAGCAATCTTTAGAAACTTAGTAACGTGTTTCACTCTCGAGGACCTTTTAGTGGGTGATCTCCAAGAAGGGCGCCGCTCGTGTGAGAGTCCGTGCCCTGTTCTGACTCTCTCCATTACGCGTTATCGCTGACTACCGGCTAATAAACGTCTGAAGAATAATCAAATATGGCGTTTAAGGCCCCAAGAGCACGACACATAATTACGAGAGACGCCGTAAGAGAGGGCTGTGGATGTTTCGGCCATCCGGTGTTATTTGCCGCGTGCACTGAAATGGCACAGTACGCGGGCCTCTAACATTTCACCTGCATGGAAATGCGACCGCCACGACTGGGACAGAACCCGCGACCTTCGGGTCGGCAGCCGAGCTCCTTAACTGCTCCACCACGGTGGGCTAACTTCATTTAGATGTTTGCATGTATTGCGAAGCTTCTTTTCGTCGAATTTGACAAAGAAACAAGGAAGCGGAAAGTGGAGGGGAGGGGACGATGATGTGATGGAACAGTGGTGAAATGTCCCCCCTCTCTCATGAAGGAACCCTGCACACGTTTGTGCACACATCTGTCCTTAATTTGACAAACTGCCTGAGTACATATGATTTGATTGATTGATTGATTAAATAACTGATTTATAGATACATTGATTGCTTAACCAATTGATGATTGATTGATTGATTGATTGATATGATTTGATTGATTGATTGATTGACGGTTATTGATACCATGGTCATATTCAGCGATTACGCAGAGCTCCGCCACCGCCACTGCGTAGGGTTGGTACTGTCACCACCTGTGAGCCGCCGACCACTTACCCACTAAACCAGCTGAGCTCGCTGGCAGCCCTCAGCAGAGACGGCGCTGCTGTGCGTAAGTATTCACAACCATTTGCTGTAGGTTCCCAATTGGGTGTGGTAGCACAGCGTAGAATACCTTACCATTGTATTGCTTTTGTCAAGATCTTGTTGGTGATGTAGATGAAGGTAAGAAATTCGATCTTATTTTCTCGACGTGGAACGTAGTTTAAACATGACAGTATTCGACATATCTTGGGGTATTCGGCGATAAAGTTCAGCTAGTAAGGGTTGATTTCCGACCTTGTTGGTGCGACATGTGTAGGCTTGAAAGTGGAACGTGTATGACCGAATAAAATGTGACAGAACACACATACGAGTTGATTGTATTCCTTCCTGTCATTTAGGCCTACAAACTATGTCTAACATTGAAAACCCAGCCGTGTCTACTTGCGTTGGCAATATATTTCTTTTTACTTTAAAAACACGAGCTGTTATATAATTTTCCTGCGTCTTTTCATCTCATCCACAAGTGAACGGCCCTGGACTGCCTCAGTTTTTCGATGCAAGCGCCCGAACGATGGGATGGTTCTTCGACCAAACAGCCCAAGCCGCTGCAGCTCACATGACAGTCGGAGTAGCCGCAGCGCGTGAGTACACCTTGATAATATGAGACTACCATGATGACTGTAACGTCTAGCTTTATTGCCCTTCGCTCATTTTTATTCATACATACCCTCTTTTCCCATGCCAAATACAAGGTTTGTCATTTTGGGGCCATCTCTGGCTAAGCCCTATTTTTTCTTTTTTCTTTCTTTATTTTTTTGTTTTTTATTTTATTTCTTTTTGCTTGCTTGCTTGCTTGCTTTCTCTCTTTTCTTTCTTTGTTTCTTTTTTTTTCGTGAAGAAAGTGTGGTAAAATATTAACAATTGCAATTAGCCAGATTCCACTAAGTTTTCGTGTCGAAGTCGCATTACAAAAGATGCGCCAATTACTGTCGAAAAATAGGAAAGGAATAATATGGCGTTCAAAATGAAAAACCATTCCACATATCAAGCATACAGCGTTGCGAATGACGTCTTCAAGAAGCAGGCACAAATGGGTGGGGCAAACTAACGAATCACAATTTTTTCAAACTTGTAAACACATTTTCTCACATATACATACCCTGCCTCAAGTACGCTTAAACCCAGTCTTTTTTACTTTCATTTGAAGCAGCCTTGAGCATGCAGAGTTCACTCCGAAATCTTCCAGGTACCCTTTTTTGATTTACCGGTCGCTATTCACTTAAGTCCAGTGTTATAGGAAATCACCGAAATAGTCACCTGGTAGAAGCGCGGTGCCTCAATGCAGCCCCCCCCCCCCCCCCCACGGCATGCATTCACGGTATACCTACCGACTAAGATTGTCGGCGTGTTTCATGTGTGCTTGAGCTGCGCCTGTTTTAAGCCTTTGTGAGCTTTCACTCGCACACAGAATATGCGACGTGTCGGGTGATGTTTTTGATAAACATGGCAAAAAGTGCGCCTCATGTGTTCATTTGAACACAGGAGGCGTCTACTGCACTCCAGTAGCAGTCATTTATGCTTCGTCGTGGTAGAAGCAAGCGAATGGAACTAAGTCTTCCACGATGCAGCGGTGCTGTGCTGGCCAGTTATTGCGGCTGCCGCACCTCCAGCCCTGGCTCCACCACTGCCCTATCTGCTGCCCGTGGCCGTGGCTCCTGCAATGGTCGGACCCCACTTTGCCTTGCCAGGTCCACAGATGCAACTCCCCAGGCCGGAAGTACCAGCCAGACCTGGTCCGGTGCAGTTCTTCTACATGATGCAGGCGAGCTATCTTACTCCGTTTCGCTGTTATTCATGCTGGCCTGATCCTCGTTACAATTAAATCCCATTATTCGATATATGACATTATTGTAAAGCTCCGTCGGGCGATCACTCCCGCCAGTAAATGTACCTTGGATTTTAAATGGGTACGGCACCAATTTCATAAGCCTAGTTTACGTCGTCATACAAATCTCCAGCATATCAAGACGACTCCGACCAGGCGTGAAGCTCATAGATTGCTGATAACATTTTATTTTGACATTGAAGTCAATTTTTGCTTGGCGCACTTACTGACATCGACAAAATATGAGAGGGACGACAAGGTCTCCCAACCTTCTCCACTATCACATCGACACTAGCGTTACGTCAAACTACAGTACCAATTCTGGTGATCAGAAGCGCTCGTACAGCGAGTTGCGATGACGTCATCTTGTGCGTCGCCGAGCGATGCGACCGTGGATAAGTGACGATTTTTTGACCGCTTGCGTCACTAGAAGCTCACTCTGCGTCGTAACTTCACGTTAGAGTAGGAACGAAAACTAGGTTTTGTATATATGCTGTAATATTTCAGGGCGCAATCACTTTTGCTAATGCAAATAATGTCTCCAATCTATAGAGATGCATACCGCTGTAAGAAAAGAAAAGCAATTTTGAAGCCAGCAATAAATTGTCGCATTTTTCTGATTTTCGGAGTACGTTGCGCACATTTCATGACACACCCTGTGTAACTGTTTACTCATTAGTGTTTCATAAATGGTTTTAAGGTAAGAAATTTGCATTGGGAGACCGCAGAACTGAGAGGAAACTAGAGGCGCATTGATATGGTTAGGGAATTTGCAGCTGCACGTCTAAACCGACATCACAATCGATCCAAGTCACCGAGTGTGATGTCCGTCCATAGATGGACACAAAATTACAACGACGATTGCAACCACGATGGTGATAACGTGAACGCTACAGGTCGCAAATTCTTACATTCGTATCATTTATGGTGCCATCATTCAGCATATTGCCTTTCTAACATACTTCAAGCGATTTGCGTCCAAAGGTTTACATGTGGCGCCCTTCGCCGAGCAGCCCGAGCAGCAGAGGAACACCGCCACTGCCACCAGGAGGGCACCGACCGGAACCGCGATGCCGAATATGGCCAGTCGCCAACAGCGAATTGCAGGTGAGACAATGGCTGCGCAAGCTGTTGTGTGGCTTATCTATTTGTAATTAATTTGTATTCCACGTGTTAATCATCCTTGCGAAGTTGTCAGAACTCGCCACGGTACTTTGGTGGTTATTGTGCTCGACTGCTGACCCGAAAACAGAGTGGTGGTCTGTTTCGGCTGAGTCCAATTGCGAGACGGCTCGTGTGCCTAGGTTTAGGTGCGCGTTGAAGACCTCCAGATGTTTAAAATTTCTGGAGCCCTCCATTGCGCTGTCACTCATAATCATATCGTTGTTCTCAGGCGAAAAAAAAGAACATCAAATAATTACCATGAGGTCTTTGAAAAAGGAACATGGCTGGAGTGTGACGTTCCAAGAATTGCCCTGCTGAGGACCGCTTAACCTGACAGAACGTCTCGACGACACGCCCCCTGCAATATATGTCGGCGGGACTGTTACAGATTGACGGCATCAACATTACGTAAACTCAATTACTGTCTTTTCACAACTGCAGAAAACGCTCCGCGTGCAGGCAATGCTGGTCGAATAAGCAAAAATGGATACGCCTAACAGGGTCAACGTGGCACTTTCGCCATGGTTTCCCTTGGCGCTGTGCTGAAGTTTTTTGATTGTGGCGTCAGATCGCGTTGCTTCATTGAAGGTGAAAGCGGACCGCTTAATTCTCATCGGCATAAAGAATTTTATTGGCGAAAGAGCGGAAATAATCCTGCTATGGGTGGGAACACCCAGCCTTTTCGGTGAACGCAAACATATTTACTTCAAGTCGAAGAACCTGTTCAACGAGCCCAAAGTTGAAGACGGCCACTGCTCATGTTGACGGGTCTCTCCGAAACGCACTGCAGTCCTTTTGCGCTTCGTTGCTACACTGCTACAGGCAAGGCCTTATCAGTTTTTGAGCTAAGTACGCTGCGACCTTTGCCGCCAATTTTATGTATCCCAGTGAGTTTTGTTTTGCCATCAAAAGCTGAATACGCATTCAGTTCACCTGATAAGAAAAAAGCAGCGTCTCGCGAGCGGTGAGCAGCGCGTGGCAGAGTGCAGCGTTCGTTCGTACTCTTACATAAAGGAGCTATGCCTTGTGCTGGTGTGTCTTGAGGTAAGGCAAATCGTACCTTCTATTGAACATTCGCCGATCCATGTTATAAGGTTTCTAATGATTAGGTTTGCGTGCTTTTGGACACTCTGTTGTTCATGTTGGCAGTAGATGATATTGAAAGCAGGTATATGCACGCCCACTACGCACGCTACGAATGCAACGTGACAGACATGCCGTATATACGCACGAACATACGTGCACGCTATCCACAAGCGCGACCTTTGTGCGTGCGTTTGTGTATGCCAAATAAAAAAAATCGGGAGAAATGACTACAGCAGCTTGATTTGAGAATGGGTAGCACTACGGCTTGCACAGAAAACAAGCATATGATAAAATACAGTCACACGTGTAACGCAACAAACTTCCTAAAGCGTTTGCTTATATAAACGACTCCGCGCTTAGAGAAGGCCGGATATTGATAAAAATTCACACAAGCTCAATAATGGTTTACCCACCGAGCAGAATTAAGTCATCGCAAGCGAAGTAATTAGAACAAACTACTGTAGTGGCCATCACCTTCTTCCCAATGCGCAAGTTTCCGGTTTGCACCGTTCCCTTTCGTGCGTGTCTGCAAGCGTAAGGAAGTGACAGAACGATACGTTGCCATCTCTCCCCCACGATACCACGCATTGCGATACAGTGCAACAGTTTCTGAACATCGCTTTCTACTATTTCGGGCTCGTGCATGCAGCATGGCGAAAAGACAGAAACTATTCGGCCACGTCTCAACACACGCAAGGTGGTCACATCTCCTTTAACGGTTCTCCCAGGTAGCGCCGTTTACAGACATGGCCGCTAGGTGGCGAGCGCTCAGTTGGACTTGCGAATAGCAGCCTGAAACTCGTACTGAGCACTCGCTCAAGCGTTTTCAATCACCTGCATTGTTGAAGTCACTAGATCACCAAGACGACAACAAAACTTCTGTAGAGTTAAGAAGGAAGACCGAAAGACTACCACGTTGATACATATGCATCAATATAATCTAATGCAGAAAATCATATAAGGACAAACGAGGGAGTGACACGAGTTCTGGTGTTTGTTTTCTCGTAGTTGTCCCAATTTAGCGCATAAATTTGAATTATGCTTAAAAAGGGCATCAATCCAGAATAATACGTTCACACCATGTTTCAAATCAAATTGCTGCTTTTTGAACTGTGATTGCGGCATATGAACGTCGACATCGAGCCTCTCGCACTGCTACACTGTACCGCACGTTCGCGGTGCCAGCGCATCGACGACTTGACCACACTAAATCTTATTGGTCATCTTTCTTCGCAGGTCCAGAAATCTTAACTGCTGCAAGAAGCAGGCAGACATCCGACTACAACAGCGCTTATGTGCTTGACTTCAGCGCATGATATTTCCCGTACGAATCGGAGCTTCCACTGCGCTACTGGAGATAAGCCGATCGAGCTTTATAGCAAGATGACGTCAATGCATCTGTATAGTTCACGATTGATACGTGGGGTTTCACGCCCCAAAATCACCATATGTATAAAAAAAAGATGTCACAGTGAAGGGCTTCGGAAATTTCGACCAACTGGTGTTCGTGCACCCAAATTGAGCACACGGGCCTGCAGCATTTTCACTTCCATCGAAAATGCAGCCGCCGCAGCCGGCATTCAATACCGCGACCTGCGGGTCAGCAGGCGAGTATCTTAGCCACTAGACCACCACGGCGGGTCTCTGTATTGTTCAGGTTATGCTCGTTTAAAACGGCCGAACATGCTGGCATGTCACGAGACCACTTGGTCGCCCATACTGATTCTGAACAAAGGCGTTCTGCACCACAGGGAAGCACCAGCGTAGTAATATCTGGGGGTTTATGTACCAAAACCACGGTGCCATTGTAAGGGACACCATGGCGCATAGCTCCAGAAATATCGACCATCTGGTGTACTCCTGCCCTAATGTGGCACACACCATTTCGCCTCCACCCAAACACGAATGCCACGGCTGAGATCTAATCCGAATCCTTCGGGTGATCAGATGAGTACCGTGACCAGTGAACCACCGTGCCGAACTCCACTGCAGGGCTAAATGAGCATGTGGCTTGGGGTACTGGATTTGGATGCACCAAGCAACGAGTGACGCATGCTGACCTCTTTCAGGGTCCCGTTGGAGGTTCACTGAAGCTGCCACTTCCAGCGCTGTGGAAGCAACGCTGTGCTCACCGGCGACGGCCCAGGCCACGCAGCACCAGGATATGGGCGGACCCTTCCAGCCGTGCGAACTCGCGGTCTCCCATGCGATTACCTCCCTCCCCTATGCCTACTCGACGCAGGTTTGCTGCACGGGTACTGGTGCGCAGCCCTGCAATGCGTTGCGCGGCCCGTACTCGGGCCGTGGAGGTGGTCTCATCTTGCCGGGAACGCCAACGTCACTTCAGGAGCCCGAAACCAGCGGCTCAAACCAACCACCCCGTTGCGGGCGTGCTGTTGACCGGTCAGTTTTCTTTACATCATACTGTCTATATTATCACCTGGAGTGCGGTTTCTACGCATTTCCTGCTTTCCTGACCTTGAAATTGAACATGGAAAAATTTGTGGGGAGAAGCAAAGGAGCTTGAGAAGATAAAGCTGGATATCGTATGCAGAATGAAGCTGAAAAAAAATGGGGTGCCTGCAAGTGTGGCGGATGATTAGGCGGTGTCATAAAATTTAGAACACTGAAGGCATGCCCCGGAATTCACTGGCACAAGACAGGGTAAATTAATATACATATGATGATGATGCATTCAAATTGCTAGTCCCCTCTCGTGCTTTTCATTACCTCCACTTGTTAGAAGAAAAAAGAAGAAAATTTCGCTTCTTTTATCGTCTAGTCAGACAGCTGCTCAGAAAATCATAAAAACTAGCTACAGAAATGTGGTATTATTAGCAATCAACCACGCAATTTGGGTGGTGGACGACCCTTGATTGTACCGATTTAGGTGAGATAAAAATATGTTGATGCTAGGGGTGTTATAAAGCTGCTTCTAAGTAGCTGGAAACAATTCACCTAATAAAATTGGAACATTCGTTCACTTTATACAAAAGAAGAAGATTCAACCATTAGCAGCACTATTTATAAAGAACACCAGTGGTAATATCGTCGCTTACGCATATAGTGTGCCTGTTATGCGCTAAATAAATCATCCCAAAGTGATACGAGGTTTAACCTTGACCTTCATACTTCCCAAAGATGTGCACAGACACACCTCACTATGCAATGATTGTAAAAAAAAAAACACAGGACAGTTGACCTCCACCTTGAAAAGTAGGCGTGATAGGTTAACAGGCCACGTGTACATTGCTTTCTTAACTGCCAACCTTCTTCGGTTCTCGGTGCAAGCCTTAAACATGCCATAAAAAAAACGAATGACTGTGAGCGGAAAATCGGCCGTTTAAAAGTATCGTTGAATGCCTACGCGTCCGTAGTATAGAGGCTAGAAAAGTTTTCCTAGTGTCGGGAAGGGGCGCGCCGAAGCGAAGTAGTCTGCAATGATCCACAGTAGATGGCGCCACGGCTCGCTGGCGCGCGGCTCTCGTGGGCGTCTGCGCGCTTTTGTGCGGCTGTTCGCGTGCGAGCATATTTTTTTGGCCAGCTCACTACAAGTCCTCCGCAGACACACGAAAAATAATCAAACATGCGATTACATACACTCACGATGGCGATCTTGTGAGCTTGACAAGCGCACATTACGCGACCACGGCTTGGGTGCGCAAACCTCATCGGAAGGGGTAGTTTGATTGCGGGGATTAACGTGCCGAAACTGCGCCTTCGTGGAGCGCTCCCGATTAATTTCGACCACCTGGGGATCTTTAACGTGCGCCGAAATCTCGAACACACGGGGGTTCTTCCTTTTCAACTCCCTCAGAAAAGCGGCCGCCGCGGCCAGAAATTAAACCCGCGTCCTTGTGCTCAGCAGCACAACGCTTTAGCCATGCACTAAGCCACTGCAGCAAGTGGAAGGGGCAGTTTTTCCTTTATCGGCCCTGTACGCGTGGTTCCAGCCACCCTGAGTAGTAATTAAAATATTACTACTATTAGGAACTTAGCGGAAGCAACGAGTTATGAAATACAGCTGAAGTTTCCAATACAAAAACTACCACACAACAACCCCAAACATAACAGAATTCAAGATTGTCAATGAGCATTTATTGCAGCGTTACAAAATGAAACTTCAAAAATCACACATTTTGAAAATTAACACACATTCCCATCTTTGGGAGCAAAGCAAGAAATAGATACATAATTTAACAAACAGTCACATTTTCGTGCGAAAAACAAAAATACACACGAGCACAGAACATTTTACACTCCAAAAAAGTATGCACGACGGTGCGTGTACAAGGCTAGGTCACTTTGCTGAACTGCAGACGTTTTTATTGACATCGCCTCATTTTCAGAAGTTTTTGTTTTTGCCTCTGAGTGCTCCTCTCCAGGTTCTTTGCTTTTGCAAAAAAGTGTAATCGGGTCAGGGCATAGAACTTAATTATGTTCCTCGTAACATCCCTTCCGTGTTCGCTGCACCCAACTTCTTTCAGCTGAGCTCCATGCAAAAACTGCAAAAAGTCCATCATGCTTCCAGCATGAAGCTCATTTCTGCTGAAGAACACAGTAAAGGTGTTTTCAAGATTCCCAACGAGCTCCTCGACCGGCTTGGAAGGGTAAATTAACCCAGCATGATCAAATTCTCGCGTAAAAGAAGCATTATCATTGCACTCTGCTTGCACAGGCAAAATACAAAGAGAAGAAGCGCATTCAAGGCATGAAGACCTTTTGAGGGATTTTCTCACAACATAGCCTGCTATGTAAAATACAAGGCGGCTATCACTGTGCTTTTCAATGCAGCTTTTGTGATCAAGCAGCCCTTGTGTTCGCAACACATATTCTGCACGCTCCAAGTTGCCATCATCCAAAATCTCGTCAATTACTGCTGATATGTGGGCTGACTTTTCTCTACCAAGGTCAGATGGCCCCAAAAGTGCTCTGACAACTTCTTCGGGAGAGTTCCCATTCTTAGGGGACCGTGCTAGGCTGTAGAATGACAGACTGTTGATTATTATCAAGAACTTCTCCGGTGATGGGTGGTCATTGCATCCGAAAGACTGCCTTACAATGCCGAACACATTTTCCATTTTGTCTTGGCTTAAATTTGCCGTTAAGAGATATTTAAAACCAAGAGAGCTACTCAAGTAGCAAAGAAGTGACAGCGTGCTTTTCAAAGTCACACGCAGCCCACAGGCAGTTCCTGGACTCAAAAACCCGCCACCATGCTCAGCAGCGTGTTGTTCCCACTCAGCCAGGAATTCAATGAAATTGTCGAGAAACTGCGCACTCGGCGAGTTTGGTCGGAGGCCTTTCGATGGTGTTCTAGATGTCATGACAAAAATCAGCTTCTCCATGAGCTTTACAAGCTCTTCTGTAGGTTGGACTGCTCGGAATGTTTTGTTCAAGTGTTCTTTATAGAAAAAAAGCCCCTTAAGGACTTCTTCACTGAACAACTGAAAAGCTAAGTTCACCCGCATTTTCTCAAAAGAATTTGGCTGAACGTGAGACTTGGTAATGCGTGGCATAACTTTCAGTGTTAGAGAATTCTGGTCCTCTTTCCAGGCTTCCTTAATTACATTGGCATGGGCATGACCAGTTGGAATTTGAAGACCTTTTGACACGAAAGCATTTCGCACACATTTGACCAAATGAGGAAAGTCGGAGATAAAATGCAGGCTTCTTGTTGCGTCCACTGGATGGGGAACTTTGCACTTTATTTCTTTGATGGATGCTGCAGAGGTAAGAAAATTTTGTTACTTAGGGCAACTGAGCAGGCTCAACGGGATTAAATACAAGTGTCGTGATAAAAATTGGCCTACCTTTGATCCCAAACAGTTTCCATAAACTGCGATTCCAAGGAGCCCCATCACTGGTCCAGTAGTCGACGAAACGGCCAGACTTCTCAGCCAGAATTGTGGCCTCCAGAAGAATTTTCGAAAGAATGTTCGCCTTCACGTTTCCCTTGGAAGAGAAAACCCCTAGGATCTGGGTCCAGTTTTCTGGAAAAGGAAATAAAAGGGCTTTGTTAAGTGCAACAACTTTGCAAAGAGAAATGCTTGTGCAGCACAATTTAGTTCCAAAGTATAAAGTATCAAAACGTGAAAAAGATTATACTATCATCACATGCTCTACAGAGAACTCACCCTGGAAAGGCTGAAACATGATGGCAAGGCCGTGGTCACTCACTGTAGTCTCGTTGCTTTCAGTAAATGGGCCGAGGTCCACAAAGCCGCTCAGTTCTCCAGAGGTCTTCACACTGATGTTCTCTGAGAGTTTTATTTCGTCGAACACAAGACCACCATGGCAGCTGTGTGCACCCATG